CTGGTTTCTATAGCTGTACCACTACGCATGTGTGATGCTTTTGTCTGTTGGCTTGAGTTCTAGGTCATGTGAGGCGAAGGGCCAATGCAGAAAAGGTTCTTCCCACCGTGAAACCAAGAAGTGCCAGGACAGTCCTATTTTGAGGAATATCCAAAAGCATTAAAAACACGTTATTACTATTGCTCTACAAATGTCAACTAACTGTTGAAGTTACATTGCGAACATCCAATTAGTTGGAACAAGAACTAGTCCCATTGTTTATATATATAATATATATATATACAAACAAACACACATCTTCTGTTGCTTATGCCGCTGCCTCGCCAGACTTACAAAAGTCTAATGTGAAAAGCCTTGAAGAGTCCTCGAATCTTTCAAGCGCCAAGTCTTCGAAGCCTGCCCTCTTTGGCTGTTCAAGGCATGGACAGCACTAAAGCACCAAAAAGGAAACGGGGAGGCTGCACCGGCAAAAGGCAAGCTAGGCAAGCTAGACTGAGTCTAAATCTAGTAACATAGTAGATGAGGCTGGTGTTGCATCAGGATTTGTTTGGGAACCAAACAGAAAGCTTCGACATACTCTGGTCGAGATTGTTGTTGAGCGTATTGACACACACAGTTCCCGTGAAATGCAACTGAGGTTTGAACGCATTATAATGGCGTGTGAGATGTGCAGCGGTCTATGGACTTGATGCACATTCATGAAGTTCATCATTCCGCAACTCATCTCTGGAGAACTGAAAGCCTAAGCAAGGATGTGGACACGTTCATGGCCTCTTCCGCTTCGGAACATCTTTGAGAGGAGGCACAAGACGCTGGGGTGTCTCTTCACGAGCTACTCGTGGTGGAGACTTCTCACCTGATCAAACCCTGCAGCAAATTGAAGCACCATTGCGGAGCTGACACAAAGAACATGCACATGAAAAAGCGTTTTAGCTGTTTATATACATGTAGAAAGTATATTATATGCAAACCTGGTGTCAGCATTTTTGCAGTTTGCCTTTTTCGATTTTTGTTCGCCTTTTCCACTGTCTTCCTCTTTGTCCACTTGAACTGGAGCCAGTTCTTCGCCTCACTTTCGGCATGTCTGCTGAATTTTTAACATTGCTGTTGTAACGCTGTTGGAAATGCGATAGCAGCACAACTTTTCCGGCAACACCACCTGAGAAACTAGGCTTTGGACAGAACGCATCATTGAGACAAGACAAAGAGACAATGAAGCTTGAGCCTTTGCCAACTTCAGACCTAGGTCAGGAGACACGGCCCGAGTTCCAAAAATACATGCAGTTTGGTTCCCAGCTCTACTCGGATAGAACCGTTGTGCATCTGCACGATATCCAGGCACACAGCCAACCCCAAGCCCAAGCCCTCAGTGCATGGATGAGGGAGACTAAGGCGTTCATTCTCCAGTTCCTAACATCAACAAATCAATCAACAACTCCACTAAATAGATCAGCCTCTAAGACTCTAAGTGCTCAAAGAAAGAAGCTATCGTGGACCAGAATATCATTAGCAAAGAACGCCTTTCTGCAGAAGCAATCCTGAAAGTTGCGCGAATCACCAGAGCTGCTGTGCTCCTCACTGAAATAAGCCCATGCATCCATAGAATAGCTTGAATCAACAAGCTAAAGACGTAAACGGTCACCACTTCCAAGACATGTATAAATATCGTTGGCATCAAACCACTCCTGCTCAAATGGCTTAAAAATGCGCTCTTGCGCATCCCGTGAGATGCCGCAGCCTGGCAGTGTTGGCTGGAAGACAATGAGACTAAACAACACATCCAAGAAAATGCTACTTCATTTTCCCTGCTAGCAGGAGGCAAAGAAGATGAAGAAGAAGAAGAAAAAGAAGAAGAAGAAGAAGAAGCAGAAGAAAAAGCTGTTGAAAAGAAAAAGAAAAAATAACAGACGCAAACCGGCAGCAACAGAACAGCAGTAACTATTTCTACAAGTATTACAACTACTGCTACTACTGCTACTACTGCTACTGTTTGCGCTCCTGCTCCTGCTCCCCCTCCTCCTCGTCCTCCTCCTGCTGCTGCTGCGCTCCTTCTCTACTTTCCTTGTTGTTTAATGACAGCACCAAGCACAACAATCTGGCAACAGCAACCGCAGCAGCAACTACAGCACAACCATGACAAGGACAGGGGCAAGGACAACGACAAAGACAAGGCCAATTAAAGCGACCAACATCAACCACAGCCTGACGCCACAACACCATGCTACCACATGACAATATCAATAGGCAGGCAATAGTGCTCGGGACCAGCCTGTATCAACCACTGAAATCTCCAAGATAGACCGTTCTTGGATATGCTTTGCGCACACAGAAACCTTTGCTGCAGAAAGGGTTCGGGAATTGAAAGCCAATCCGCCCTGTCCGAGAATTGCAATTTCAGACACGCACTCAATCACCTGTCCGGTGGCCATCGTTAAGGCTGTAGGACAAGCAACTAGGAAGTACCAAAACTTTCAATTAGGGATAACCTTGGAATTACCTGTGGATATGATGAAGTAGAAATGAGAATAAGGGTGAAAGCTCACCGGCAGCGCCAGCAATTGAGAAGAGATATCAAACCATGACATGCATGACATCGCCCTGATAGCCAAACAAATCGACCAGTGGCTTGTGTTAGGTTAGTTCCCACGGGTTGGCGAAACCATGTTCAACATGGATCCTTTACTGCTTTTTGATCCAAGTTGCTGAGCCTTCTTTCGTGAATTTGCACGCATTTGTGAGGAGATTGTAGATCAGCTGGGTACATTTGTAATGATTCCCCATCCTTTGCCAAGCACATGAAGCATATGCGTGGAATCATAGGAAAGCTCCAGACTCCAGACAACCAATCTCGTGCCAAAAGTCACAATGGGCACCTTCCCAATCTCTGCTATACGGTTCTTGAGTTCGACGCCTGAACATCACAATCACTTTATCAATTCTGTTGAGGCTTTTGTTGTCAAAACGCTGACTATAACTATAACCTTTCCAGTTTAGTGTACAGTCGCCATTTCAAGTTTTCACACAACTCACGCCTTTTTGGATAAGAGGCTTGTTCGCCTCCCAAAGCGCACACAATGCTTGAATGCTGTTTTTGTGTGAAAGGATGGGCAGTCGTGCATCCCGAAAAAATGAGGTTTGCAGTCCAGGTGAGACCAATGTATCTTATCTTCATGGACCAATCTCAGCAAGGGGCACAATGGACCTTGCGGTGCTCAGGAATCAAAGCCAATGTGCTCGTGGCAAAAAGAAATACGCCCTCCCACCTTGTCAACCGCCATTCGGCTCATGACAACGGCCTCTTCAGCAATAGCAAGAAAATCCACCTGACAGTGCATCCAGCATGTTTCGGTGGCAAGTGTGCTGACTGGTGCTACATTCTGATCTGCATACGTCCCAGCCCATTAAGAGAATAGCTTCGGGAGAGTCAGTCCCGCCATATCCAAAAAAGAGTCTGGCATGTGATAGGCGACACCAAACGCAGTACATGGTTACAGGGATGCACAAGAATCATGCTGGGCCCGCAGAAAAGCACAAATTGAGACTGTTCAAATCTTTTAAGCTACACCACAACTGGGGCGGGCGGTCAACTATGACAATTGAACTTGGCCACGGCCTTTGAAGGCTGTTTTACAGTAAATTAATGCTGGTTTGCCTGACGAACATCAAACATTTATGGAATGAGGTGAAGCACCTCCGCACTGCGCAAGCTTGGTAAACTTTAGATCAAATCCCAGTCCGCTGCAATGTGTGTGTGTGTGCCGTCCACTCAGCCTTCGACGACTTCGGGATATTTGGGTTGTCCTTGCGGGCTTCTGCTTCGCTCAGGTCCATGACGTTGGTCACCAAATCCTGTTTGTTGCACATGACGGAATGAATAGATTGGAATCTTTCTCTTCATGACTGCACAGTTGTCACGTCCCAAACTTTCGAAAGCTGGAAAGCAAGAAATGGGCGGCTGATCTGCCAGTCGAAACACACACAACTTTTTACTGTCTAGAATGGAACTAATCTCGAAATGGCCGCTCCAAAAGTCTGGTGCTGCAGCTCTTCACCATCCCCAACCTCACTGCTGCCGTGCACAAAAAAAAAAGAGTGCCGTATGGACGCAGGACATGTGTCACTTCAAGGACGGAAAGAGCTTTAAGAGCAGTTTCAGAGCTGGTTCTGGAATGGGGGTCTGCGGTCGGTCTTAGTTTTCTCATGTGGCAAGTCACTGCCTTTTGAGCTTGTCAGTGTTCACCAATTCGATCATGCTGGTGGCCAGGCCAATCATGCCATGCAAGGGGCTTCGGATCTCATGGGAAACGACCTTCAGACTGCCACCAAAGTCTCCAAACATGACCACAGCACCTCTAGAATGACTGCAGCATGCCTCAAAATACTCATGAATGCCTCAAAGCCACTGCCATCAGTCGGCTCTTTTTCTCCTCATGGTGGCGCCAGCTGACAACAATGATACGGGCTTGGTTTTTTTTTGCCCTGTTTTGGGTTTTGTTTCGACACGTTTGCCTCAGGGTTTCAAACGGACCTGTTAGATTTGGGGGCCGTGCCTCCCAAGGTTCTTTTTTGACCTGTTTTGAGGAGGTGCCAAGGTTTCAAACGGACCTGGTACATTTGGGGGCCGTGACTCCGAAGGTTCTTTATTGACATGGCTTGGGGCGCAAGGTTCTTTTTTGACCTGTTTCGGGCGGTGCTTCGACAAGTCTACCTCAGGGTGTCAAATGAACCTGGTAGATTGGGGGGCAGTGCCTCCCAAGGTTCTTTTTTGACCTGTTTTGCGGTGCCAAGGTCACAAAGGGACCCCGTACATTTGGGGGCCGTGTCTCCCAAGGTTCTTTTGATGACATGTTTTGGGGCGCAAGGTCCTTTTCGCCCTGTATAAGCTTCTCTGTTGACGTGTTTTGGGGAAAGGCTCTACCTTGGCCTGCTGGGGTTTTCAAACCGAGAGCAGCCGACAGTCGAGAAGACAAACCTAGAATACATCCAACTCGAACTTCCATTTATCGCCCCACTTCGCGCGGCCGCTTTGGGTCCGGCGTGCGGCCGCTGGACTTCCGCTTTCGGCCCGGCTTTGCCCGGGCGGGGATTGTATCCAAGTTGATATCCCCCTGCAAAGCTGCCACATACCATACATGCGGGCAGTTTGCCTTCTGGACAAATGTAGAGCACGTGCAGACCCTTCTGGCCGCATTCCGGCTCTTTCCATAACAGCGGGGCAAATACCGCGACGGAAATTCACCAGCAACCACAACACAATGGACATGAAACAGCAATTCGAGGTCAGTTGTGCTTAGCTTTTCTCCGTCCGCGGTACTTTGAAACACCTTGCTCTCCTTAAGCAAGGCGCGCAAATCCCCGCCGCCTGTTAGTAAGAGTCGCACGAGGTGCTCAGCACAGGCCTTGGACACCGTGGCATCTGCGGCCGCTTCTTTCTCGGTCGCTTGTGCACGCATGACCCAAAATGTGGACTTCTCTTTGTCTTTCTCAACACGTTGGAAGTTCACAGTCCCTCGTGCGTGGGCATCCCAATACTCCTGGGCAGAATTTTGCCCGAAGCGGCGCAAGGAGTCTCCTTTCACAAACACCTGTTCCACATGCCCGGGCCAGAGCAGGCACGGCAAACCTGCAGGGTTAGGGTTGCAGCAGCACATTTTGACAGCCTCGACCACACCCACTTAAATTACAGCAAACCACCTTTACCTGTCCTACGTCCGAGTTTGTCACAGGCCTTGCCTTGATCCTCAAGCATCCAAACTTTCCACGGCCCAGCATATAGTCCTTGCATGATTTCCAGTATCCTGTTGGGAGCAGCTCGAGCTTGATCTTGAATGCGGCGCTGCCAGAAGCTATGAAAGGCCTCTAAGGTTTGCGTGCCTGTCGCTGACCCCGGGTGTGTTCCAAAAACACCAGCCCAGTAATCTGCCCACAGCAACTTTGGCTCCAAGCTTGGGTGTAGCTTGAACATCTTGGAGACAGTCCCCACACTGACCTCTCGAATGTACTCTCTCCGCAGGTAGCCCACCACCTCCTTTTGGCCACTGGCTTCTAGCTCCGACATAAACTGGCACCAAACAGCGCTGAACAGTTCCAGTGTGGGCAAATGCCTTGCGCAGCGCACAACACGGAGCACACGGTCGCGCCACCCAGCTAAGGCTTTCTTGCTCAGCGTTGCGTGAGTGGCCCGCGTCATGTGGGGGTAGTCGTTTGCGGGCCTTGATTTGGGGAAGACGTGCCTCCGAGCAGCTTCAATGGAATCATTGAAGTCTGCTTGTACCTGTATCACGCGCTCTGGCAGATCAATAGCAAACTCCTTTTGCACAAGCTCAACCGCGGCTTCAAAAACCCAGGTCCAATTTTCATTCGACTCGCAGTCAATATAAGCTTGCATCAAAGGCTGCACCGTGCTCGTTCTCAGCTGCATCTGCACTTTCTTCCCGCAATGCTCTCGATCAAGTGTCGTATTGCGCGGTGTGTGGCTTGTCCCCATTATTCCAACCGTCGCAACCACCGCACCTGAGGTAGCAATCCTTTGCTTGCCGTCCACTGTCAAGCACACAGGTTCCCCACGGGGGAGTTGTCGCATATGGTTCAGGAAGCCCCGGGCCGTCCAAGCAATACACACTTGCTTCACAGTGTGCACAGGATTCCCGACAATCCGGAGGTCGGTCAGAGCTGCATTAGTGAAGGTTGTTGACTGCTGTTCTACCCAACTGTCCACCATAAACTTCATGTCCTGCACTGTGATCTGCTGGCACTCTGGTTCGCCTCTCCTCTGCCGGTTCTCTCTACTGATCCATGACTTCAGCTGCGTGTCTGTTACGCGCACTGGCGCGTTGCGGGCCGCAAAAGCTGCTTTCACTTCCTTCACAGTCACCTTCTTGCCACCAGGAAATGCAGCGGCCAATAGGCTAGCAATCCAAACAGGTCAACAGGAAACCCTGCACAGGTGCCCGAAACAGGCCTAGGCCTTTCTCTGCTCGCTGGCAAGCACACAAACAGGTCAGCAAGAAACCCTGGACAGGTGCCCAAACACCCAGGCCTCTCCCTGCTCGCTGAAAGCGCCCAAACAGGTCAAAAAGAAACCCTACACAGGTGCCCAAACAGCCCTGTCACAGCCTTTCGCAAACCAACCTGCAACCCGTGTCCAAAAGGAGTCCGGCCCGAGGGCTTCCGCCACGCAGGCTAGCCCCAAACAGGTCAAAAGGAAACCCTACCACGGCCTCGCCCCAGTTGCAGGCAAGCACCCAAACAGGTCAACAAGTAACAAGAAACCCTGCGCAGGTGCCCGAGGGCTTCCGCCACGCAGGCTAGCACCCAAACAGGTCGAAAGGAAACCCTACCACGGCCTCGCCCCGCTTGCAGGCAAGAATTTAAACAGGTCAACAAGAAACCCTGCACAGGTGCCCAAACGGCCTCTCTATGTTCGCTGGCAAGCGCCCAAAAAGAAACCCTGCACACGCAGGCTAGCACCCAAACAGGTCGAAAGGAAACCCTACCACGGCCTCGCCCCGCTTGCAGGCAAGCACCCTTAAACAGGTCAACAAGAAGCCCTGCACAGGTGCTCGAGGGCTTCCGCCACGCAGGCTAGCACCCAAACAGGTCGAAAGGAAACACCCAAACAGGTCAACAAGAAACCCTGCACAGGTGCCCGAGGGCTTCCGCCACGCAGGGTAGCACCCAAACAGGTCGAAAGGAAACCCTACCACGCTCGCAGGCAAGCACCCAAGCAGGTCAAAAAGAAACCCTACACAGGTGCCCAAACAGCCCTGGCACGTCCTTTCGGAAACCCGCCGCCCAAAGAGCCCTGGCACCCAAACAGGTCAAACAGAAACCCCACAGAGGTGCCCAAATAGCCTTGTCACGCGGCAAGTGGATAGACTTGCCACAGGGACGCAAAGGCCGCAAGTGGAAGTTTCCGCAGGGACGCACGGGCCGCAAGCGGTTTTGACCACAAGGACGCATAGGCCGCAAGTGGATAGACTTGCCACAGGGACGCAACCCCCGCAAGTGGAAGTTTCGCCACCGTATCCAGCCCATGAACGGCGAGCAGGTCAAAAAGCAACCCCACAGAGGTGCCCGAACGACCCTGCCGCCGGGCAAGCACCCAAACGGGTCCAAACGAAACCCACACAGGTGCACACAAACCCCTGCCGACGGAAAAAACGACCCAAACAGGTCAAAAAGCAACCCGACAGAGGTGTCCAACCAAACAGTTGAGACCCTGTACCCCGGAAACAGCTCCAAAAAAAACCCTGCCCATCCAAAAAAACCTGCCCAACCAAACGGTACTGTTTGACACCTTGTACCCCGGAAACAGTGCCAATTGAAACCCTACACCCCGGAAACAAATCTGAAAAAAAAACATTCCCAACCAAACGGTACTATTTGAAACCCTGTAGCCCGGAAACAGATCAAAAAAAAAACCTGCCGGGTGCAAAAAAAAACCCGTCCCAATGATACCATACAGCTCTTTTTCTGTCCAAATACCCATGTGCCATTGTGTTGTCCACACGCTCGTCTGCGGGGCATCTCGCATGATTTTGGCATACTTCTGCCGGTTTCTTTGTCATTTTCCATCAGTATATTGCCCATCATCGTGGCAACACTGGAGCGGGATCTCTTTATCAGGGTGCGTGCCACTGGTCTGGGCCAGGGTGCCTGGTCGGAGTTGTCAAGCGCCTGTGACTTAGCTCATGAGCTAATCGGGCAGGGACCGCGGCTGTGGCAGGGTGGAGGGACTGACTTCATATGACTTCATCTCTCATCCAATAATGTGAAAAATTGACAGTATACACATTGTTTAAGGGTCTGGTGAATGTATGGAAAATTATATATGCCAGCATAGACCCCAAACAGCAAAAGGATGTTTGTAGCAGCACCCTCCAGCACCCAAGCTCCAAAGTGCGCATGGCCACGGGAAGCGACACCAGCACCCTGGACATCGCGCAGCAGCGGCACCCTGCAGCAGCACCTCCACTCAGGCTCCAAAGCGCACACAAGCCGCTCTTCCTATACTTGAAGCAAGAACCCCAATAGCTCTCGCTATCTGGTGAAACAAACACTTTACCCCGACAGAGTTAGGAAATCTATTTAGGTCTCAAACTGCCTGACCATGACACAATCCTTGCATTCCACAAGTTCATTGCCCTTGATTCATGTTGGCATTGGGCATGTCCACCTCGCATCCATGATGTTTGCTAACTAGCAGGAATGGCAGATTTACACGACTCTTGAGTTCCCAAGCATGGTGAAAGCCAGCTGGAGCAAAAGGCAAAATCCTCATGGGCCAGATTGTCAAGGTATGTGAAGACAAAGGCATTGCTACTTTCCACTATGAGTTGGTGAAGCTTTGGTGAAGCTCTGTGTTCCATTGTCACCTTACCCGGGCAGAGGAGGGGCTGCGTAGTGAGAAAGCAAATCGTAGTCTGCCCAGTCTGCCCGGTTGTCTACGAGAGCACATATGAAAGGGATTGTTGCTCACGTAAGCCACCTTATCCAGAGAGGCTTGATGTCAGGCCAGAGAATGGAAGGGCAGTAAGCGCCTGATGACTCGCTAACTGGCACTCCTTGCTGCCGGACTACTCACAACATCCGTTTGGTACATTGGTATAATTAACCTTCAATTTGCTTCCTCACGCATTCCCCATGGTTTGTCTGTCCTGGTGACTGTGTGTATACTGAATGTACAAGTGATACAAGTGTACACCTTGGAACCAGAGGTTGCCTACAAGGCGCGAAAGAGAGCTATGATGGCAAAAGGATCGTTTTCCAGAAAACAGAGATGCAAAGAAGGCCTTATCAAAGAGGCCCTGATCTAACTTCCTTTTCTGTCACCTTGGTATTCCACTGCACAAATACCTGAAGAAGGGCATGTCTTCTCAAAGGTTCACAAGCTTTGCACAAGGGGCTCCTCTACGGCTTTCAATTCGCTCAGCTCGGTAAGATTCTGTCCAATTGCAACCAATGCCTTGACACCATCCTGCGCCAAGACAGACAAACAAACAGACAAACAAACAAACAAACAAACAGACAGACAGACAAACAAACAAACCAAACCAAACCTACTGAGAAATGGTCATTTCTCACTCACAATTGTTTCCTTGCTCAAAAAATGTTATGTCGTCAAAGTTTCCTTCCATTCAAAAAACGTCATGCGAACAAACCAATCAAGATCTCAAGTGTGCTTGAGTGGATCTAAAACATTCTCCAGCACCACAGGCACGAAGTTGAGCAGAAGGTATTGCTCCTCTTTCCCTGACTGAATCGCCGGACTTGAGCAGTCTTTTGTCTGAAGCCCGCATGCAAGTATCAAAAACAAAAAACACAAAAGTGCGTCACAGCCAAAGGCTCTGAGTTATTAATGTCCTGCAAACAGTACAAGTTCTTCAACAACTTGTAAAAACAAATTGGAAATAATTCAATTCAATGAGTCTCTCTTATTGTCCAGAATTGCAGCAAAGGCACGATAAGGAGACTTGCTGGTGATTTCGATCAAGCCCGAACTGTGCAGGATGGATTTGGGATGATTGATCCGATTACGTCAGAACACACAAAATAGTGCTGCGAAAGAGGTTGAGACAGCCAAAGGGACCCTTCTATTGAAAAAGTTTGACAGGGCCATGGTGGAGCTCTGCGGCAAAGGGAATATTGTCTCCACAATCACAACTGTTGTAGTATTTTTTCTGTTGAGAGGGGTGCAACGATGTGCCCGAACGAACAACACCTGTATTGACATGCAGAAAGGCCATAGACTGGTCAAGATGTCAATGTTGAAACTACTGCAAGTTGGCTGTTGAGGCTGATGACAATGTTTCACAGAATTGGGTTGTTACATGGTTCGTGCATGTTTCACTGAAGGGAATGCAATTGTGCAGGACATACTATTTGCTTCAAGAAATCAGTCATAAACATATATAAATATAGGCACTGCACACATATCAGGGTCACCATCTTCTTCGGACGATATTGAGTACTGAGGATGCTCATCCCAATTTGTTCTGTCTTCCCACAAGCCTCTGCTGGCCTTGATTGACATCCTTCACCGCTTGGTCAAAGACCTGCTTCTGCTGCTCTACGGCAATCAGAGATCTGAAATTGAGACCTTAGTTTTGCCGTTGAGAACTTGTGAACTGCAAAACGCCTTGTGCTCGATGAGGCTTTCGCCAGCAACTGACTTCTCGGCAGTGTTGAGGAGTTCCTTGGTGTGACGCAGTCAAGGGCAACTCCACATACGACTCTCATCTTCGACACAGTACTATAGCATCTCAGGAAGGTTCAAAGCACACAATCAAATTCAATCATGTTCCAGATTCAGCCCGCTTCATCAACCTAGCTTATGTAAGTAAATATGCATGTACGTATGTATGTATGTATGCATGCAGGTAGGTAGGTAGGTAGGCGTGAATGCATGTACGTTTGTATGAAAAAAGGTTTGTATGAATGTATGTATTTTCTCCTGAGGTTGAGTTTCGGCTGAAAGCCCCTTCGGCCTGGGTGTCTAGGGCTGCCTCACAGCATGAAATTCTGCCGGCCAAAAGAAGTCCACTGCCATCACGCCGTCCTCATCGACAGAGTCTGGTGGGCCTGGTTCTTCAGCAGCAGTTGCAGGCATGACTGCATCAGCCTTTGTGTCTTCCGGACGTGGTCCGTGACAAGAAAGCTGCCTTCCCTGATCTCGGCATAGCGGCATTGCATAGCTCCGGTTTGGGAATGGAGCCAGCCGGCTCCAGA